TGACTTGTATTAGAGATAATGCACAAGGTTCACCAATACGTGGGATCATTTAGCCAATGAATTACAAGTATTCCTTCCTAGCATATCACTACTGGGTCCAGCTTGCACCCATCGCTGGGTCCGTGACCCATTGTCTATAGTGACATCATACCTGCACTATGTCAGGACACGCTGAAATTTAACATTTGATAGATTACAATTAATTCTCCTTTCACAGAGTAATCGTTTGCGTAGAAATGCTGTCAACTTGTCAGTGAAGCTTCAAATACCTCTGTCTCTTCTTTCCAAGTACTCTGCAGCCTCCAGCAAAATTAAAAGAGAATTAAGTTCCATCTTGCTGTTGTCTTGTTATAAAAATAGAAATCTATTTACATAAATGTACAGGTCATAAAATAGTGGAATGGAAAGTTAAAAACTGTTGCAGAGCGATGTATGAAGGAAGCTATTTTCACTTCTGAGTCTTGATGACTCCAAAACTACAGTATCAACAGCACCCAAAACTAAAACTCAGGGAAATGAGCGATCGCACCTCTGTCCAATAGGAAAAGGCTGCAGGAGAGCTCTTTGGTCTGTCTTAGCCAATGAAGAGGCTGAAAATGGTAACTATGATTTGATTGGCTTGGCGGTGTAAAAGTCATCATAGACATACCCTAGCAACAGTCTGAGCGACCCGCCTTCTCCGTGTCTGATTTGTTTGACACACAGGGAAGCGGTCTCTGATTGGCTGGAATGAGTTCTGGGCGTGTGTTAAACCTGGGGTGTTGTTTTGGTTGCCAAACTTCTCCAAAGTCGGCCTTCGTATGAGGACCGTGAAGTAAACTACTTTAACTGTCATTTTCTCAGAAAGCTTCTTTCACAACCTATACAACACATATGTGTCATTAGAGTAACGCATAGCAGAATTACTCATATAGGCTGTGTTGTCTGTTCATTTCCTGTACAAGTCATTATGAAAGCTCTGTGTGAAGCTGCAGAAATTGAAAACGAGCCATATTTTTTGCACATTGTAAACGTAAAGTTGCAAAGCGCATTTTATTTGAAACTTCTAATAATTTTATGAACAGTTGTTTGAATAGACATAGCACCATGGACATATGCAAGAACTCTCTCATAACACAAGGAAAGTCACAACTGGGTCGCAGGTCATGTTTATGAAGTGCATGTTAACTCCAAGTCCTGACTAAACCTTGTTTTGAGTCCTAAACAAGTTATGATGCACCCTGTATTGAACGTTATGCCACTTATAATAAATTACTATTTATTACTTTCAAATTAAGTTAGTTATTCCTGTCCTGTGGCACATCTAGAGTTGAACAATTTGATCCCACTGACAGAAAATTAACCTAATTTTAGCAATTGATTAATCATTTAAATTGTTTTTAAGGTTTAAAAGAATGTTCAGGTTCCAGCTGTTCGGAAATCAGACCCTTTCATTTTTTGCACACTTTATTGCATTGTAGATTATTTTTAAATGGATAAAACTGACATTTTTTGCCTATCAACGTACACTCATAATGACAAAGTACAACATGTTAGAAATGTTAACTCAAAAAATCAAAAACTAAAATCTTTTATTAAAGCATTCACACCGTTTGCTGTGGCAGTCCAAATTGTGGCCAGGTGCATCCTGTTTGCTTTCATTTTCCTTGAGATGTGTCTAGAAGGTGACTGGAGTCCAACTATGGATCCTTGTCAGGATGTGACCAAGAACCCAGCAGTCACTCTAACTGAGTCCACGGTCTCAGTCCTTTGCAGAGCTGTTAGAACCTGCCAGACGGGTGACCATCTGAGCAGCACCTTTTCAGTCAGGCCTTCAGAGTGGCCAAAATGAAACCACTTTGAGTAAAAGTCCTGTCTGGAGTTTGCAAATGACATTCGAATGACTTTGAGAGCATGAGGGAAAAGATTCTCTGGTCTGATCTAATAAAAATTGAACCTTCTGAGCAGGAGTCCAAGCAGTATGTCTGATGAACACCAAGCAATGTTCATTTTTCATTTTTTCTGATGTTTTTTAACCTGGATACACTTGTGATAAAGATTTTGTGAGCCAAATGTTTTTCATGTTATTCTCCATTATTTGTTTCCCACAGCAGAATTTACATGCAAATGTGGTAATCTGAGGTTTTATCTGTTGTCTCTCTGCTGGTTTGCAATGCCAAAAAAGAGATATATCCCTTCTGTTGTAGAAGTGGGTTGTTCAGTCTTTTTTGATTGTCTAGTTGAGAGTAAAGTCAGTGCCTAGTACATGTCAGAGGAATGATCCCATTATAACCAAAGATTAATATTGTTAAATTTTCAATGCAAACCCTGAACTATATAATACCCTTTGGGCTGAACTGTGAAATGGAGCAAGATGGCACCACCGCTGAAATGGAGAGTTGTGAATAAGCAAGAGTTCCTGCCGAGTATAAATGTGGGTTGCTCTGCGTGGCAGGCAGTTTGTATTGCTAGCAGCCAGATGTTTGTGCCTCAGATTACTGGAGAACATTCTGAAGAAATCACAAAGGCGTTACAATGAGGGAAGTGACTTTTAGTGTAAGTGATGAGGAAAAAGGCCCTTGAGGAGTAAAGCCACAAACATTGCTTTCTTGTGATCTTTACTGTAGACAGTCACAAATTTCAGACAGAACAAATTGCTGGTTAGGTTTGTAGCTGTCATTTGTGTAAATAAGAACAGATTTGCAAGAGAAATGTGCAAAAATTATTTAAAGTATAAAAAGCTGTGTACAGTAAGCTCCCACTAACAGCCACAAAAACCCAAATGAGTATGCAGTGATGTATAAATGTACTCATATCATTAGTAATATATATATTGTGACGAGACTGCGGTATATTGTTATTTAGTCTGTTTTCATTGATACAGCAAATTATAAGAAGCACCTCTCATTCTTAACACAATTCACTGATATCACAACCAGGCCTCAGTTTAAAAAAACTTAACATTATTGTCAAGTAAAAAACACTTTTAGTCCACTCAAAGCATGTAGAAGACATTCAAGATGCAGGTGACTGTAAATGATTTGACATTTACAAAAATTCAGATTATGCTCAGTTCACCCAGCTGAAGCCAGGCAGAAACCACATTCAGCTGCAGATGAAACTGTATATGAATTTATTCATGTTGAGAGCTTTGATTTCCTGTTCTTTGCCTTCCTTTGTTTTGCATAACTTTATTTCAGTGTCATCTGAATAACCCCTGTTTATTGAAACATTATGTTTCACGTTACAAATGTGCTGTCACCGTGGCACAGATAGCTGTAAAGGCCATGATGTTGTGAAAGGTTTATAAGGTGTGTTAACTGTCTTTTGTTTGCCCTTTTAATACTCACTTATGAGACAAAAACTGCATGCTTGTGAGATTATTAATAATCTCTGGCCCCCTGCATTTTTATTTTACCATAAACATCTCAAAATAGAGGAAATGTTTTAAACTTAACAGAATACATTGATTTATTTATGAGGTTTAATAGCAGGAGAGCAGCATTGTTGCCCTGCTCACATGTACGTGCGTTCTTAATGGTGATAGGAAGACACAGTAAACAAGAGACAAAATTAGCCTCATTACATCCTCTTTTGAAACTGTGTAGCTGGTGTACAGTCATATTATGACTTCAACCCTGTCACATGTACAGTGCAGCTGTTTCTTAATAACGTAGCTCTTGCAAGCTTGATGTTGTGTTTGGACAACACCTCATGACTATTCCGTGGGTAGTTATAGAGAAGTTATGCAACTTCTTATCAAGAGTCCACATATGTTTATATATGACACTGATGCGACTGAGCAATGTATAGTTCACTTCAGATTGCAGGAGGTCACAGGTGTATGCAGTCATATGGGGTGATTGTGTCTTTAGGTTTTGCTGTGTGAGCATTTGTTTGACTCCACTGGAGGTCTGTGACATAGAGTAAAGACCTGCCAAAATCCCTAATCATGCAAGGATCTTTTACATAAGAAAGCATTCATAATCTCATGCATGTTATCACTTCTGAGGTTTTGACATGCATTCACTCTGCATGGTTTTAGAAAGCCCTGTTTCCTCTCTTAGTCAAGTGGATTTCAATAGAAATATGTGGCTACATTTGATGTAATTATTTAGCAGCATGGTTTGATTACAGCAGCAACTTAGGTTAAAAATCATTTTCAAAAACTCAATTTAACGAAGGCTGATCAAGCAGACATGAAAAACAGTCTAAATATTTGTGTATTCAGAATGTAAAAGGCTCGGAAAATAACATCTGGTTCATGTTCTTGAACTTTTTGGATTTCATCCCTTGTCACATTTGAAGCTTGTGAGATGGAAACCAAACCACTGTCAGGCCAACATCTGAACATTTTTGGTTGCAAACCTGGAAAACAATCCTTTTATTCAGCAGCAACATTTTCACAGACATAAAGAAGCTTGATCGTTGCTTATATCTAACATCAGCTGCTTGTTATCCATTTTCATTGTTGCACCATGCATACAGTGTTTGCAACATGCACTAATTATGTTTTTATTGATGTATTTGTTACAAATAATAACCGTTTAGTGCATCCTATGAACCCTCTGGTATTTGGCAGTTTAATATTGTGTTATTTGCTTTTAAATATAATATAATCAACATGCTCATAATGTTTATGTTTTTAATTATATTGAGTCAAAATGTGGAATAAATGCAATGATGACTGGTCATGTTCTAAAGTGTTCATTACAGCACATACAGTAAATCCAACCATACTTTTGTATCATATGAAAGGAAATAGCCTTTGTCCCTCCTGCTGCATGTTTCTATTTATAGACTTATCATCTGCATGCTCTCTGATCATAGTGGCTCAGGCCTCATTTCCTCGGGCCTGTCAGCTAAATGACTATTCTCTCCACTATTCTTATTTTCTTTTTAATCTATCATTGCATTCTATACTGAAAAGGCTCACTCCTGCCAATCCACAGTAACCAGCTGGCTTCAATGGTAACGTTTGTGCTGCAGATCCTCAGTGACCAAATATACGCAGTAAATAAATGCATAATGGCTGGCCTTTTTGGAAATTTAGGTCAACTGAAAAGAGCTTTTGACAATGATTTTCAGTGTTTCTGTTCTGTAATGTAGTCTGTTTTAAGTAACTAAGGTAACATTCCCATTATTTCATGCATGCACATAAAATACTGGGTATTTTTAGAACTCTAAAGTCACATTGTTACTGACTTTAGGTATAATTATTTCACATTCAAAAGCCAAAACTACAGGTGTCTTCACTGTGCTCTTTTAACTCATTCCAATACCATATCATTTCTATTTTCATTGTTTACATGCACATTACTGTGTGAACTGTTTGGAGTTTTTTCTACTAATACTAATACTACTATTATGAAATGAGGCCTTTATTTGTAAAAATGAAAGATAAAATTAAGAATATTATTCAATCTGCAATTCAGCCAGTGTAACAGTCATCAGTCATAAAAGGAATCATTTTCATGAAATGAAAAAGTAAGGTTTCATTCTCATCCTTCACTTCATTTCCAATTTTAGGCATGACTGAAGAACAAAATATCAGCAACATGTGTCTTCTGCTTCCTCCTCCACTGCAGCAGGAAGTCTCAAAGTGATAATCCCCCAATCAAAGAGATGTTCTC